GGAAGGATTAGCACCCCACAACGCCCTAAATCAGTACCTAGTCGATTAATTAATGTCTTTGCAACGAAATTTACAAGTTCATCTTTAATTTAATTTATGATCCCTCAAAACAACAAAATACAAATTTTATAACATTCAAAAGCCACAAAATAGGTTAATTTAAAATTACCAAGTCATTAGAAAGATAAAGGATATTCGATTATTTAAAAATATCGAGACCAGATCTTTAGGTGAGTTCTAACGATCTTTTCTCAAATAATTTAAATAGCTGAATATTTCTTTTTCTTTCATTCCCAAATTTTAAAGTGATTAATCAATTCTTTTGGTGACACTGTTGGGATACACTTTTAATTTAAAATCGTCAAAACGACCCTCTAGTAAGTTAAGAGAAGCCATTTCTATAGTTTTTAATTAAAAGAGTATTACCCTTAATCCGAATATGATTAGGTTAAATCAAGTTGCATATGAGGATAACATGCTTAAAAAATTACAACTAAACAAATATGTACTAACAACATGCTCAAAATAATATACACATGCATACACTCGAAATAAATCTAAATTAAGCCTACAAACATACAAAATATTAAACAAGGGGGTAAAACATAAAGAAAGAAAACAACAGGCTCTTTTTCATAAAATCTTCATTTCCAGGGATTGCAAGCTTAACACAACCGAAGTGATATATAGGATCAAAATTAAAGTTACTCCAAACTGCACATCCCATGTAAAAACAACACGAAAATAAATTTAACATAACATAGGGCTAAAATGAAACATGCCAAACATTCAAAGCCAAATGTCTAAAAAAAATAGAAACTAAGCACATTACCACCCATGACTAAAATACAACATGCAAAGATGTGAAGGTCAAATGTTTAAAACAACACAGATGCAAATACACTAACACTTGGGACCAAAATTAAACGCACTTAAAATAAAGAAACTAAATTAAAAACACAGGAACGTTCGAATCAAGGACTAAAATGAACCATGCCACAATTCAGAGGTTAAATGTCTAAAATAACAAAAACTAAATAACACTACCACTTGGGACTGAAATTAAATACGCGCAAAACAGATGCAAAATCAGAAACGCGGAAGCACGATTTATGGACCAAAATACATGAAATTAAAAAGTTGAATGGCTTAAGTAGTACATAACCACGCGCAAAATAGGAACCCTAAACATCCATACGACACCGTTTTAGTAATCTTATATATATATGACATTTTAGGTTAAAATTTAACCCTAAATTCATTTTATTCTTCTCACAGCCGAAACTCTCCCTCACTTCTCTCTGGTTCGACCGAGAGCCACAAGGGATCGCCCTACGCCGACGGTAGGCCACCAACGATGGTGGCCCTGGAAACTAGGCCAAAACCAAACTCAACACCTCAATCTCCTCTCTCGCCGAGACCCTTCACAACCCCCTACCCGAGCCTTACAGAGAACCCTAACCCCTTTTGAAGATTAACCTCAAACCAACCATGAAAATAAACTAGAAATTGAAGCCTTACCGTTGTCAACTCAAAGGAGTCGGGACACCCCAAAATGGTGACAAAGCTCTTCATACGGGAAAGGTAATATCCTTTCTCTTTTCACTCTTTCGTTTTTCTTTTCTTTTGATTTGGGTTGGAAAAGCCCTCGATTTACTCCTTGTTGTGGTGTTCTTGGTTCAAATGCTCTTATTGATCATTGAAGACGAGCTCCAGACAGTCACGATGAACCGCCGAGGTAAAACGGGCGTCTCTCTCTCTCTACTCTATTTTGGTAACCAAATCTGGAAAATATTGCATTTTTATTTAATCCAAATGGAAAAAGAACAGACGATACATAGCTTTTCATTCATTCAACCCAGATTGGAGAAGGACCCCGTTACATTGCTTTTTTGAATCTCCCTTGTTGTTACAATGTTTTTCCAAGATAAAGACTCGAAACCTCCTCCCTAAGCTGCTCTATTTTTTGGTTGATTTCTGGTTTTGTCGTTCCCTGTGTTCGTGTTGTTCATGAACCTCTTGTAATTGTTGGAAATATTCTCGTCCCTCCCCTATTGCTGAACCGAGCCCCCATGTTGTGGGTGTTCACTGTGCTCTCTGTTTTCTGATTTTTTTTCTTTTTTTGTTTTAATGGTTGCCCCCTTCTTTTTCTTTATCATGCCATCCCTAGACTCCCCTGTTCGTATTTTCCTCCATCATAGCTCTCTCGTGTGTGTGTGTGTTTTATTTCTGGTTCCTCCCTCGTTGATTTCTCCGTTGGTTTTTTGTTCCCCCGTGATCTCTTCTGCTAATTGTTTTTGGTGTCTTCCTTCATTTGTGCATGGTATGGGCATGAGATGGACTGGGCAGTGGAGCAGGAGCAGCAGGGCACGGGTGATGGGGAACCGAGCTGCTCGGTCAGAGTGCTGGCAGGGTGATGTCCGGGCAAGCAGGCTTCACGTGGGATGCTGCTCGGTCACAGCTGGGAGCCGAGCCTTGTCTGCTCGGTTGTAGTGCTGGCAGGACGTGGTTCACGAGTTGCTATTGGGCGCTCCACGTGGGGGAGCTCGGGTCGGGTTGGTGCTCCCAATGGGTCGGACTTGGGCCTATTCTTGGGCTCCGATTTTGATGTTGCTGTTGGGCTCTATAATTAATTTGAGTTTGTAAAAGGACTTTGAACACTTAATTTGAGTTTTGGAATGACTTTTAATTTATATATCGGTTTAAAAAATGAAACGTATACAATATCAATCCAATTAAAGCCAAAGTCTCAATTTCCATATTAACCCAAATTCAAGCTTCCACGATTCATCACTTGAATTAATTCCTCATCGATCACAAACACCTTCAAATCAATTCTCGTTAATCATCAAGTAAATTTAAATGGCCCGGAAAAAATTAGGGTATTACACTAATAATTTTCTCACTTAGCTGTAATGTTTTTGAAAGTTTCCCAATTCCAAGCGTGAAAAGGAATCCCTTTGCAAACTAATCACACTCGACGACACTCCACCACCAAACTCTCTGACCAAGCTTCCACTCTGGAAAATCATTTTGCAAGAGTCTCTAATTTTTCATTCTTCACAACTCTCAACGAAGCAGAGTCTTCAAAAACTATTAGAACTACATTTCCAGCAGCTCTCATTAACGTGAAACCAGCAAGTCTTTTGGCTTGCATTTGGCTAGCAAGATTACCGATTTTGGTAAAGTTCTTGCACCAACCCACCAGACAGTTACTCAGCACGTGAAGTTTGTCATCGTCCACAACACCCTCAACTTCACAGTGTTTAATCCTCGAAACAACTTTCATCCCAGACTTACGTTGAACAACTGTCGAGGACTTTCTCCAATAAGACTGTCGAGGATTATATTTGGCCAAAGAGACACTAATTTTGCTGCCGTAAATATGAGAACCATTCATTTTTTATATCGATTTCCTTGCTTCTTCAATTGTTACGAAGCGAATGAACCCAAAATAAACCCCTATGGAATTTCTTTTGTTAGGAATGAAGGCATCAACTACATGACCGTGATTACAGAATAAAGATCCAAGTCTCTTCCAATGGATCTTCTCTGGTAAGTTTTCAATTAATAACGTGAAGCATCCACTTCTGTACCCATTCCTAACATTTGTATGACCTTTCTTCCGCCAATTATTAAAATTGATTCTCCTAATTTTTACTTTTTCACCAGACTTGTTACCAGAACACCCCTTTGTGGTTCTAACGTGGACAACATCTTCGGCAAGTTAAGATGTTGATACCTCTACTAAAGATAGATTTTCATTCCCATAATTCCTTGGTTGAGAAGGAGGAATACATTCAGGCCTAGATTTATTAACCACCTTTTTGCTGCCAATAAAAGTCTCCTTATTCCCTGACGGAAAGTCCATTCGGGATCTCCTTATAAACCTGTCGCGGATGAAACGATCACGGCTCCCATATCTATCATCCCTTCTGTCAAAACGGCCCCTATCACCAAAGCGTCTGTCATCATAACGGTCATCTATGTACCGATCACGATCTCTGAAATGATCACCACAGGCATCAATGGCAACGCCTCTGTATCTTGAACGTGAAGAGAACATGGCACCACTCCCACCTCGGCCACCACCATCTGGAGGACAATCACGGACCCAATGCCCGAATCGCCCACAATTGAAGCATTCATCATGCGCAACAGGACTGTCTCCACCTGCATAGCGATCCCTACGACTTGATGAGTAACTTCCTCTATAGCCATGATCAAGATCTTTACTTATCTTGGGTTGAGCCTTATTCACCGAGATTGTATGATCTCCCAAGTCTCACGTATACATCTCCCTGATAGCTTCATCCATGGACCGGCGATCTGAAAATGTAATAAATCCAAATCCATGAGATCGCCCTGTATCTCTGTGCACCATGATCTGAGATTCAATAATTTTTCCGAACTGACTAAATGCATGCTGAAGCTGTGTCTCGGTGACATCCCATGATAATCCTCCGACAAATATTCGGTTCTCTTCTTCCCTGCCATCTTTTACAAACAATTCTTCTTTCTTCTTTGAAAACCTCTCTCTCTTTTGGCTTCGTGGTAGGCTCCTGAAACTCTAAGCCAAGACTCGAGGACGTGTTTTTGCAGCCCCAAGAGCTTCAGTAAGTTCTAGACAAGTGCATCAACAAAACAAAACCGCAAGCTCTTGCCCACAAATAACCTTGTAGTTTCATCGGTCAACGGTTACCGTTGAAGCTTAGATCTCTGGAGAAAAACAAGCGTCAGCAGGTATTTCATCACTGCCAAGATAAAATCTGCAGATGATGGTTTACTCAACAAACTGATATCTATGAAATATGTAGATGAGTGCTGTAACAAAGGGTGTAGTTACTAGAAAGCACTAAACTAAATCATAATATACATATTTCTGTAGTTCTCTAATAGCAGCTAATGAGGACATTACTGCAATTATTGTAGAGAGCAAGTTAAATTTTTTATATATCCTCCAAGCTCTAAAGCTTTAAGTTCGATAATGCTTATTAAAACTCACAAGAATGAAAAATGATATTTCAATGTCTAAATATAGGCAGGTAACGAATGAAAATTGAAATCAATCAAAATAGTAATTACATGGTTTGCAATGGCATTTCCCATATATATGGTGGGATTGATCCAGATATATTGCAGCTCCTCAACATCCTGCAATTAAAATCTCCTTATTTGAGCACAATTTACCGACAGTGGAGATCAATATGACCATGAAGAATTTCCCAAAAGAAGGAATTACTTACAATCTGCTTAAGTTTTTCATGTTATGTAGGTTTGGAAATCTTGAACCCTCTCCATGTAAATCGCTGATTCTTCTGAAGAAGATTGCAACATAAAGAATTTGTTATATGAACTTTGAAAGAACATGACACTGCTGCAAATATTATGTCCAAAAGTACTAGAAGGTATCAAAATGAAAAACTCACATTTCAACTAAGCTATTCAACAGACTTAAGTTGGAAGGAATCGGCCCTTCAAACCCACTGGCTTGAATCTCTCTGTCAGTGTAACAACTAAAATTGGAAATTTCTCAATGAAAGACTCTCAACATGTAATAGAAACAGAATGAAGCTTACAATATCTGGAGTTGCTTCCAACTTTGAAAAATGTTGGGTAACTTTCCAGTGAAGTTATTACTGCTAATCCGACTGAAAGAAAACCCGATATTTAAATTAATAGTACTTGGCAAATTATACATTCATAAGATTATAATCATGGATGATTCTAAAAACCACTTACAATTCCTTAATGTTAGGTATGGCTCATAAATATACTAGTAAAGAGGACAGGAGATGGAGCGGAGTGAGCGAAGCGAACATCAACTGTCATTACAAAGAAAGTCTTGTTGTGGGGTTACAAATTATGTGGGTTGGGGTGCGGGGGCGTAGCCCCGCGGTACGGTACAGGGTTGATTTTGTAATTATGTACCAGGGTTTTCTATTATAAATAGAGATGTAACCTAGACCTAAAATATCATTGAATAAAATTCTAGCGCCGCCTAGGCACCGAGGACGTAAACACATTGCCGAACCTCGTAAAATTCTCGTGTTCTTTCGTTTTATTTACACGTTTTCGTCAACACTTCATTCTGACCAAATTGGCAAGGGCCGGAGGCAACTCTCCTGTGAGATAGATAGGATTAAGAATGCTGCATTTACCAAATAAGAAGATTAGTCCATCCTTAACTCGGTCAACGCTTTCCTGGTTACACGAAATTAATCATTTATGAATATGTAACAAGTGAAAGACTGACAGAGTTTCCATGTTAACCAGTTTCCCCAGCTCGGGGGGAATAGTTCCAGAAAACAGGTTGTCTTCAAGACTCCTGAAACATAATACCATGAGAAACCTCAAAATTATATGCAAGAACAAGGGAAATAACAAAGAGAAAGATAAGTACGAAAGATAGACTATACAAAACTCTAAGAGTTGCAATGTTCCCCAAATAGCTTGGAACTGGCCAGGATAAGCGGTTCTGAGAAATAGACCTGAAATAAATTCATGCACATTCAGTTCAAAGTTCGGCAGCCAATTTCTATGGAGGCCACACCCATCCTTGTCCATTTTGTCCGAAAACTTCAGGGTTTTTTCCAACAAAAAAAGCTTTTGTGGGATAAAACCGTAAACCTTTCGAGTCAAAGCTGGTTTGGTTCTCTACACTTTCTAACCATAATCTACATTCAATGAGTATGTTACACGAATTCCAGTTTCATAGTAGCCCATTCACGAGGTATTGTACCAGAGAGAAAGTTCCTAAAGAGCACACTAAAAGGAACAAAAGGGAGTTTTACATTACATGAACCGAAAACCAAAATCTCATTCTAAAAAGCAAAGTATATCAATAGCAATAAAGCTGCCGCCGTGATACTCGCAACAGCACCCGTTATGTCCGCAATCACATTAAACGAACGCAACCCGACCACAACTGCAGTTTAAATCCGTGATTGTAACCTTGGTTACTCTCTTACATGTCTTTGAGGTAGGGTAGCTTCGCGAGTGAGCGTGGAAGAACACCACTTAAATCCTGCTCTGTGAGACGGCTGTTCATAAGAATATCAAAGCTTATTAGATACATTTCCAATTTCAGCTGGTCAAAATCTCCGAATATATAAAAGCAAAGCTACATTCGAGGAAAATGAAATAAGGTTTTTTTTTCGTAGTACGATCATTGAAGACATACATGGTATAAATATGGCATTGACCACCATTTAAGATGCAATTGCAGGTGACACTGCTGTTCTTCATCACCCTTGGCTGAGGAACGTTGGGTGGCAGTGGAGGCGTATACCAGCTCGACTTATTATTGCAAGGGTTCTCACTGAAATTCCAGTCTTCCTTTCCAAGTTCTGCTGCTATCGCATGAAGAGCTTGTACTGCATGGTGAAAAGGAAAACCCCATTATTTAGCAAACAAGCCTTGTTGCAATTAGAAAGGTGAAGCCTTAATTCAAAGCACCCCTTCATCTCTTCGAGGAGGGAAAGTTTGGGAATGAGCTTTCAAGATACAGCATACTAATTGATTCGTGTTACTAAAATACGGAGATATTGACGAATAAATAAGATACTACAATTTTTATAAAAAAAAATAGTTAAAGAATAGAGAAGATGAATTGGAATTAGGATTTAAATTACGATTGTAGATGCGTTTATTATTACGTTACTTTTATCTTGAATGTGGCAATAACACGTGTTGTTTGTGATAATTATAAGTATTATGGTTGTAAAATAACAGTTTCAGACGACACATTTATCATCGTATAGTGTTAGTTATTTTGATAATGAATAGTTGATTAAATCCCATTAGAACATAATTAATCAATGATATTCTTTTTGATTGACCTAACATGAGGTAAATACACTTTATTGTAACATAAAAATTCCTTTTTAACTTTTATATGGTTTTCGAGTTGTTATAGGCACATAATTCTAAAATGTTTGTGGATAAAAATTTTATAATAAATGAGATCCTTAGTTTTACTAAATTGGATAACGTTGAAAATTGCAGGGAGAAAGCGATATCCGGTGAAAGAGAAACAAGCACATTAACTGACTAAATGAGAAAGCTCCACTTGAGATTCAACTTTGTTCTTCGATGTCATGAAGACGACAAGTAGAAAGAAGCCGAAGATATAACTGGTTTGAAAGCTAGTGATTCTTCCCTTCTTCTTCTTCTTCTTCTTCTTCTTTCCCTGGTTTTAGATGCTCAACTTTCTTTGCTATATCCTTCTTATCTGAGTTTCAAGAACAATCATAGGTTCCATTATTGAGGGTGTGTATGTGGACAATGAGGCTCTAAAACGTAGCATTTTTTTATTTTTATTTTTTATGGTCAACTTGAGTCAAGTGGGAAAATAGTACTACAGACATAACGAAAGTTAATATCTACTTTAAGGCACTGTCCTGGTGGGGTACTGTCACAAATAATTGAATGCCTTTTCCCAGTCATTACCGTGTGCCTATATGATAATGCCATGAATATGACACTCACCATGGGGAAGAAGCTTTTGCAAGTGATCTGGTAGAGTTGTTAATGGCCGCCGGCAGCACATTTGGTGGAGGTGAAGGATAAAACACCTAACCTTTATTGATTTTTACAACAAGGTTTGTCGCTGAAATTCTAATCCTTTCCAAGATGTGCAGCAATCTCATGAACAGCATGTACTGCAGACCCAAGATACTGTATTTAATTTTAACCATTTATATATTATTTTATTTCTATATAAAATCCTACATCCATCCTCAGTGTATATCCATTCTCACATACAAAATTTCATTGATTTGATCATTATGGGGCCCCAGAAAAAATCTAACTTCAATTTTCAAATCAATGGAATCTTTTGCAGTAGGTTAAAAAAAAGGAATGCAGAAATGAATTTCCCTGAAATTTCTTCTTTTGACTCACAGCATGATTCCTTACATTTCTAGTGACTAGTTTCCAGGAAAGCCAACTACAATATTAATGTTCATTGATGGGGAAAAAGAAATTAAAATAAGAACATTACAAGGATCTAATTTGTCAACCGAAACACAAATTTATGTTAAACCAATCATATTCAAAACGTGATGCTAAAAATATGGGACTATTTACATTTCCAAGGGCTGCCGGACTGTTGCAGTCAACAGACCTGTAAATCCAGGTAGCTCTCGGTGAGAAAAGTAATTCAACTAACATGCAACTGGAAAGGAGTGGGTCCCTACTATGAATCAAATCTTGAATCTAGTTTGATTTCATTGGAGTTGTTGTTGGAAATAAAACACTCACACAAACAACTTTTATTGAAACTCAAACAACTTTTATTGAAACTCAAACAAATATTACAAAAGCACTCTCACTCAAAAACAAAAACTACAACTCTCTCTTATAAGACTTTGCTTCTTCACTCACTTAGAAACTCTTAATTTTTCTTGATGCTTAAACTAAAATGGGGAGGGATATTTATACTACTCAAGAACAATCCTACACCACACAAATAAAATAATTTAAACCATTAAAGTCTACAAATACCTAACTTTCGCATAACTAAATTGATGTAAGCAATGACATCTTCATTTAATTGATGTAAGCAATGACATCAACTTAGTTTGGGTTTGGGTTTAGGCTCCCATAATGGATCAAGTTTATGATCCAACACCCCCCCCCTTAAACTTGATCTTGTGATTCCTAGTAAGTTCATTAATCTTATGAAGTCTTCGCTCGTCAGTGGCTTGGTAAAAATATCGGCAACTTGATCTTGTGACTTCACGTATTCAACTTCCACATCGTTTTTTGCAACACACTCCCTTATATAGTGGTAGCGAATATCGATGTGCTTGCTTCGATCATGGAATACTGGATTCTTTGCTAAGGCAATGGCTGACTTGTTGTCGACAAAAACCTTGGTAGACTCTTCTTGTATCAAACATATCTCCTTCAATAGATTTCTAAGCCAAATTGCATGACAAACGCATGAGGTAGGAACAACATATTCCGCTTCACAAGTGGACAATTTGACAATCAGTTGTTTCTTTGACATCCATGTGAAAGCAGTATTCCCATGAAAAATACGAATCTAGTAGTGCTCCTTCGATTATCTATGTCTCCACCCCAATCACCGTCGCTATATCCAACAAGCTTGTAATGATTAGAAACTGAATAGAACAAGCCAAAGTCAATTGTATCTTTCAGATAGCGAAGAATTCTCTTTGCGGCTTTAAAATGGGTGGTTGTTGGAGATTCCATATAACGACTAATCAATCCAACTGCGTGAAGAATATCAGGCCTCGTGCAAGTTAGATAGCGTAGACTTCCCACCAAACTTTTGAAGAATGTTGGATCTATACTTTCGCCTTCTTCATGTTTGGACATCTTGATCCCGTATTCTGTCGGTGTGCTTATTGGCTTACAGTTCTCCATCTTGAACTTCTTCAGGATCTCCTTTGCATAGCTTTCCTGTGAAATGAAAATTCCATCCTTTTGTTGCTTAACTTCAATGCCAAAATAGTATGCCATGAGTCCCATGTCTGTCATCTCAAATTCCTTCATCATCACATCCTTGAATTCATTAAACAAGCTTGGGTCACTTCCGGTGAAGATCAAATCATCCACGTAGAGGCACACAATCAAAATATCTCCATCTTTGATCTTGATATATAGAGCGTGCTCGTAAGGACACTTGTTGAAGCCATTTTCTTGGAAGTACTTGTCGATTCGGCTATTTCATGCCCTTGGTGCTTGTTTTAGCCCGTAAAGAGCCTTCTTCAACTTCAACACCTTGTCTTCGTGCCCTTTGACTTCGTAGCCTGATGGTTGCTGAATGTAGACTTCCTCTTCAAGAACTCCATTTAGTAAGGCAAACTTTACAACCATTTGCTGTATCTTCCACTTGTTTTGAGCTGCCAAAGAAATGATTAGTCTGATAGTCTCCAATCGAGCAACAGGAGCAAATACCTCATCATAGTCAATTACAGCCTTTTGACTATAGCCTTTAGAAACTAGCCTCGCCTTGTGCCTTTCAATCTCTCCTTTAGCGTTTTGCTTTGTTTTGTACACCCATTTGACACCTATCGCCTTATGTCTCTTGGGAAATGAGGTAAGTTCCTATGTGTCATTCTTCTCGATGGCCTTGATTTCTTGTCCATCGCATCTCTCCATTTCTTTTCTTGTACCGCTTCTTGAAAGCTCACTGGTTCACAATCGGCAAACAAACAAAATAATGTAAGAATATCTTGTCATTCAGTTACCTCATAGAGATCTCTAAGGCTTCTTGTACGTTGCAAAACTCTTTCACTTTGACTTCCACTTGACGATGACGAAGGTGATGAGTCTCCTTGAGTGGTTGATGTTGGTAAAGTGGGTGGAGTTTCAAGCTCTTGTTGAGGTTCACCTAGTTGTTCCCTCATTGTCTACTCATCTTCTTCAAACTGAGGAAAGAAATTGAAGTCATCTACATGAGAGTTAAAATCCTATCCTCCTTCTTTGTTGAAGACCACATCTCGACTAATCACAAACTTCTTATTGTCTGGATTGTACAGCTTGTAGCCTTTCGAATTAGTATCATAGCCGATAAAGATAAAACTCTCGCTTTTATCATCAAGCTTCGTTCTTCTCTCGTCTGGTACGTGAACATGGGCTATACTTCCAAAGGTTCTCAAGTGGGAAATGCCAGGCTTTCTTCCACTCCATGCCTCTTGCGGTGTCTTTCCCCATACACTTCTTGTTGGAGATCGGTTTGACAAGTAGACTACACACGCTGCTGCTTCCGCCCAAAATTCATTGGGTAGTTTCTTGCTTTTGAGCATGCTTCGTGCCATGTCGAGGATTGTTCTGTTCTTTCTTTCTACTACACCATTTTGCTGGGGGATCTAGGAACTGTCATTGGTCGATGAATTCCATTTGCTTCACAAAACTCTTGAAACTCCCCGGAAGTAAATTCTCCTCCTCGGTCGGATCTCATGGCTTTGATCTTTCTACCACTTTCTCTCTCCACTGCTGCTTTGAACTTCTTGAAGACTTCGAAAACTTCTGACATTTGTTTCAAGAAATATACCCAGGTTTTTCTTGAAAAATCATCAATGAAGAGAAGAAAATAGTTACTGTTACCGAGAGAGCTTGGCTTGATCGGTCCACACACATCGGTATGGATGGGCTCAAGTGGCTTATTGGCTCTTGTCTCTGACTCTTTTGGAAAGCTTTTCCTGAATTGTTTCCCGACTAGACACCCTTCACAAAGCTGGTCAGGATGGTTGATGCGAGGTAGTCCCTTCACCATCTCCTTCTTAGATAATAGCTCTAGACCTTCAAAATTGAGATGCTAAAGCCATGATGCATCTTTGTAGCAAGCTTTCAGACACTTTGTAACATCATTTTGTATGTTAATCAAGAACATTCTATTCTTTGACATCGACACTTTAGCAATGGAGTT